ATATTATATATAATTTTAATTATATGTTTTAATAAACATGAAATCTGATTGGCTAGCAGATGAGGGTGGGGTGGGTTCAAACAATTTATTAGTAAACCCTAATCAGCTAATTTCTGGAAGCCCCCTAACAAGTAAAAAAAATTTTTTTCCAAATCAATCAAATATAATAGCAGATACAGCCAACACCAAACTTAGATATTACCGCAGCACCTGTTTTGGATGCTGAAAGTGTTTGTACTGCATAGCTGATTTGCAAACTACTACTTGTAAATGTAAATTATCTCTAGTATCCACAAAAAACAATAGAACTGATTTAGTGAAACAAGCGTATACACACGTTTATGAACCTACTTGGGCAGCGCCAATATTTAAATATATTCATGAAAGAGTTATGGAATATAATTACCAAATAAATTTGAAAAAATCTTTTTGGTTTTCTCTTAGTGGACAATGCCACAATGTTTTGATGAAATTGAATCCAAAAAAGGCTAAAAAAAAAACTAACACTTATACAACAACAAAAAATAGAATTGATAACAATGTATGTGTAATGTAATCTTTTTATTACCATTATTATATTTATTAATGTATTTTTGTTTTATAGAAAAAAACTAAATCACCTTCCCCAGCAACATCCGCTGCAGCAAGTGAAGATAGAATTAATAAAAGTGAAATGAGTAGTGAAGACAATGAATCTGAATTTGCAGTAGATTATAAGTTGTTTGTTAAAACTGCAGATAGGATTTTATTATCTGCTAAATGGTTCAAAGAATCTGTATCAACAGTTGATAAATTTTTTTTATCCATTCACAATAAAATTCTTTCTGTAACAAAGGATAATACTATTTTGCCAAACGATTATTCTGTAACATTCAAAATGCAGAGAGAAACAGGTGCTAGTACTCAGTTGGCTAATGATCAAGATTTCATCAAGTTTAAATCTGAATATACGAAGTTAGCTGCTAGAAAGAGCAATATTGGAATTTATGTTATGGTTATGTGATCATCTACTCAAAATAAACGAAAAAAATGGTATATATTATATATATTTAAAGTAAAATACTGGTTATCAGTTTTGATACAAAAGCGCACTGATATGTATAATTATAACTGGTTTTGTAGAAATCGGATTTAAGCGAATATGAAGATGATACTAAAAATCCAACTAAATATAAAAAGAAAAATCGGGTTCTAAGTGTTTCATCTTTATCTTTATATGATAAAGATATTGTTAACAATGTTTTAAAAATTAGGAATGCATATCATTGTAACGTGCATAATCGTCCCTGCCTTAATAAAGAAAGTTACAAAGACCTGTATATAGAAATCACCTTTATGATGCTCTCAGTTTGGGCATCCAATATAGTATATCAATATTTCAGTAATACGCATTTATAACAATTTATATTACTTACAGTAAACTCTTTAACATATATTTTTAGAACAAAGGGCTGGCTACAGTCAAAAATCCTCTAACACATCCTATTTTTTTCTATACCAACATATCCAAAAAGCGATGTTCAAAAACATCTCTTTTACAATTACCACTAGCTATATCACTATTAGTTTTACCATCACCACTATCGCTACAAGCACATTCTACTCAACCACAACTACCGCAAATACAACATGTACAACAATCACCACAGGCACAACTTACATATCAATCATCACAAGTACAACCTGTACAATTATTATCACCGCAAGTGTAGCTATCACCACAAGTACAACTACAGTTGCAACTCTCACCACAACCACAATTGCAACTCTCACCACAAGTACAATCATATTTGATTTTGCCTTCATTTCCACTACAGCAAATACCATTAGCTTTGCCACCACAACCACCCCTATACAATTGGGCTTTTGGATCCCAAACATTTCAATCACATCAACCATTATTATCAATTTCATATAATTTATATCAAACGTTACCTTATAATTCTGTGCAGCTCTGAATAAATCAATCTAATCCATATATCTCTTTCACTTTACCTTCTATGGATGAATTTTTAAAAGAAGTAGATGAAAGAAAAGGAACTGGCGACTATTATCAAAGTTTTTTAGAAAAATTTAATAAACAATGAGTTTTAGTAAAACAATTGCAAAGACTAACAGATAGGGAATTTGCACAATATGATGTAGATACTATCAGCACATGAAAAACTCTGCGTGAATATGCTAAAAGGTATCAAGCACCAAATCGCTTCTAATTTTTGGCTAGTTATAGTAGTAGGGGAACATTGTATTTGTCATTTTTCACTTACATGATATTGCATAGTAAAAATATATTTCAAAATGATGTAATGCATAAATTGAACAAATAAAATATTAGACGCAAAATCTAAAAATTTACATAGTTGTAGTGAAATATATGTTTGTATATAGCAAGAAAAATTATATAGTGGTCACAATAAAATAATAACTTTTATGAATTACTTCTTTCAGTATATATACATTTATTCTAAATAAATTAAAAAATGCAAGTTGTACCTTATTTTTCAATGATTGATAAAAATGTATAGAATGGCAATTCGATCGTAAGATCAGTGTGTTACAAGTGCGAAGTAAAAAAAGTAAATATAAAAAAAAAACTAAAAATTGCAAAAAACTCATAAATCTACAAGGAAAATTGGTTTTTGTTATTATGTAAAAGTTTTTAGCACAAAAGTTTAGATGTATTCTTTCTACTTTGAATAATATGAACATTAATTTTTAGGATTTTATTGTTATTGAATTAATCACAGGACCAAATTTTTATTTTACTCAGAATTTCGGCTTATCATTATTAGAATTCTGCTATAATTTACTAAAATTACTGCTCAAACAGAAGCTTTATAATTTTTCGCTATTGTTTATACATATAAGGCTTATGATTGTCAGTTATAAATACCAATATTATAACAACAATAATGCAAACTCTCTAATTATATGCGATTATGCAATTACTGGTACTATCATAAAACCTGCATTTGACAAGATAGCTACGTATGTAAAACAATACCATAGGAGATAAACAAAAGCTATACAAATAAATAATTATTATATTATTTGTATTCTAAAGCTTCAAAAAAATTTTTTGCTATCTCTGGTGTAATTTGTGCACATGCGACTAACAGTAGATATTTTGGATCATACGAACTTTCAACGAAATAGCAATATCATTGTAAATAATTTTTGATCAAAGAGAATGCTAATTTGATTGGGTTAAGGTCAGGTGAGTAAGGTGAAAGAAATTCTACACGCACCCCGAATGCATCCAAATATTTATACAATTCATCGTCATGATGTATCTGAGCATTATCTACAACTAAAACACTATTATTGTATGGATATGAATTCATTTGCAGTAACTAGATTTACAAAAAAAGTTAGTAAATAATTACTGTGAATAAAAAAAAACTAACAATATATACAATATGATTTATAACGAAATCCTTAAATCTAAGTTTCGTATAATTTCTCTTTACAATATTGGCAGCAATTATCCCTTGTAGAGTTAAGGCTAGACAAACTGTATATCTTACTCCACGAACAAATACTACTTTTTTTTTTGCTCGAATGCCTATTTCTGAATAACCATAACCTCTTGTTATGGTACATTCATCTTTAGAAGACTCATCAACAAAGATTAATTGCTCGAGTCGATACTGGGCATCAACACAAGCCATAAAAGTATTTCGCATAAGTTCATTTTGTTTTTTAGCTTTTCTCTGAAGCTATTTAATAAATATAAATAAAAATTACAGTAAAAATTTTTTAAAAAAAAACTAAAAAAACTAAAAAAAAAAAAAAAAAAACTAAAAAAAAAACTTTTTTCGTATGATGCCGCAGTAAGCCAAAAATCTCCAAAGTGTCAGGATTGATACAAGTTTTTCAGTATATCATTCTATCTCACATACAAGCTCATCCAAGTACCAATCGATTTTCTCCCTGACAATTTGCTGCAAAATCTAAATTATATAAAACTTATTAAAAATAAATTGTAATGATTATTATAAAACAAATAAAGTCATGCATATATTCATATCATTTCTATCAAAAGTTTTTCAGGAACCAGGTATTTGGCACCACGGATAGACAACTGTGCCCCAATTTCGGTATATTCTTAAAATTTTATTTACTTTTTTTTTTTTGGTTTTAAGGTGAGGCCTTACTCATATCTTTATTAGTAAAAATTTTTTAATAATAACAGTGTAGA